TTTACAGGGATGGTAGTAATTGGGCTGGGCACCTTGAACCCCTCTCTTGAGTGGGCCCTTTTCTGGACGTTAACTTTAACCCTCCCTGCGGTGCCGTGTGGCGGACAGCAGAGCCTGGGGGTGGACGGGAGAGGGGCTGCTGAAGAGCTGACCCACCCGCCCCGTTTCAGAGCTGCGCCCTGGTTTCGCCGGACAGAGTTGGTGTTTGGAGCCCGACTGCCCTCGGGCACACGGCCTGCCTGTCGCATGTTTGTGTCTGCCTCGTTCCCTCCCCTGGTGCCTGTGTCTGCAGAAAAACAAGACCAGATGTGATTTGTTTAAAAACAAAACAAAAAAAAACAAGATGACGACGATAACCACACAAAAAAATTGACATCAGATGAAATGAAAAAAAAAAAAAAAAAAAAAACTAAAGGAAGGAAAAAGCTGTAAAAATCACTGGCATTCGTGGGGCCGCTCCCCACCCAAGCTCCACGTGTGTCCGTCTGTGCTCCTGGCCCTCTGGGGGACCAGCTGGGACATGAACTTGTCCGCCAGGCCCCCGTCGCGTGCTGAACGGTGTTAGTTTGTAGGTAACGCACACACCCCACACCTAAGGCGTCTGCATCCTCCTGCCAACGCATGGGCTCCACGTGGTGTGCTCGCTGGCTGTCGTGACTGTCAGCTGTCTCTTGGGAGGGGCTGTGGGGGCCCGCTGGGCTGCCTCCTTTCCCGCTAGTTGTGCCTGAGAGTTGCTGTTGTTCCTGCTTTCCCTTCCCCTCCTTTCATCCCCTGAAGGGCTAGGTGTGGGTTTTCCGAGCCCGGCATCCCCACACACCCAGCACAGACAGCCCTTTGGCAGAGCCCAGGCTGGCCCCTCATCCCCTGGAGTGTTGAGGAGACTGGAGTCCCGTCCCCAAGGCCATCAGAGATGCCCCCACAGACCCAGGGCTCCAGCTATGGTCCTTCTGGAGGAATACAGTGCAAAGAGGGGCACAGTTTAGCTTCGGGCCTCTTGCCGGGCAAGAGACAGTGCTGTTGGCTCCAGCTCCCATGCAGCCAGCTGTGGCGAGAGGACTCTGCCTGGGCTGGCGTCCCTCCTGTGTGTGAGGCATCTGTCCCTTCTCTACCGGCCAGCAGCAGACGCACTGGCAGCTCCCTGCCCTGTTTCCACCCCTTGGTCCTCCCCCTGGCCTGTTTGGCTTCTTCCCTACCCCGCCCTGCCCAGCCCCCATGCAGGTGGGAGCAGACTTTTGACCAAGGACTGCTGGCCTCGCTCAAGTTCCTGAGCCCCCAGTTGAGGCTGGAAGGGCAGGTCAGGCTTTGTGTCTGGGCATATTTGCCTGCTAATGGAGTCTGGGGGAGCCTGGGGCTTGGGGTTTGGTCGGGTGGTGCAGCAAGTGGCAGAGTGAGGTCAGAGGTGGTGGCTGCCGGGCTCCTGGGCCATGATGAGGGTCCATGCAGGGGTCTGCTGAAGTGGGAGTGCCTTTGGAATCTGGGCTGGGAGCAGAAGGGAGAAAAGGCTACGGTGGGAGCCAGCCCAGTGCACGTGGGAGGCATGAGGGCAGTGCTGCCCGCACAGTGTCAGGTGTGCCAGCGCCTTGGTGGGCTGCAGTGCGTGTGAGGGCACCTTCTAAGTTAGGCCAGGGATGTAGCCATGGAGATAAGGTGGGCTGGGGACAGAAACACATGGGCACAGGGCCCAGGACACCAGCGGATGGAGGGCGGGGTCCAGCCTTGTGCTCCTGAGCGTCGGCTGCCTGGGTTCGAGGCAGTGGGTCCCCGGCTCCTCGTGATGGTGTGTACCATGGGGAGGCTCAGGGACAGGGCAAGCCCGAGCACGGTGGGGCTGCGGGTGGGTCTGAAGCCAGGTTGGGTGGGAGCGGTCAGGAGCCCTGACTGCAGAGGGTCAGGGGCTCCTGCCCCAGTGCCTGCCCACCTTCAATTCACGTCGTTTTCAACAAGGATTTTCTTTATCTTCCCCCACAAATCGAGCCAAGGGAGGGGCACAGAATGGGGAACAGGACACAGGATCCTAAACTCCAAGGGGACTGTCCACCGATGAACACTCAGAGTGGACACCACCTTCCGTCCACGCTGTGCCCAGGACAGCTGTCCCCATCCACGAACACAGGGTAAACATCTGCCGGGCTCCGCACCAGTGGCTCCCTGGGCCACGGGACAGCGGCAGGGCTCACCACGGACAGCGCGTGGCCCAGCGGCCGGCCACCCTGGCGTCCTGGGGCCTCCTCCCCTCCTCTCCCTCTCACCTTGTCATCTCCACGGAGCTGCCTGTCTGGGATAATTTGGGGATTTTTTTTCTGGGGGATAATTCTTTTGCATGACCCCTAAAGAGCAAGCCACGCCGCTCTGCTAGCTAGGTGTCCGCGGTGTGGTGGTGGCAGCCGCTGGCCAGCGCTGCAGGGGTCGGCTACCCACGGTGCTGGCTGGCCTCCCCTCCCCTCTCTTTTTGCTGAGTTTCATTGTCTTTTCTTTCTGAGCCTTGTAAGTGTACAAAAATTATTCTTATTTTGTTCTGTCTCGGGAAACTGCAAATAAAAGAAAAACAGGACAAACTGCTTCAAGTGCAGCTGGGTGCTTTAGCTGGAATCCTGCCGACCTCCCGTGCTAAAATACATACTCAAGCCTAGTCCCTGGCCAAGACCTTACTTAGGCCCCTCCTCCAGTGGAAGGTAGTGCTATGGAGCCCTGAACTGGCCCCGGCAATCCTGAGCCCCTCTAGTGAACCCATCCCGGGTAGGGCACTAGTCATAGATCATAGCTCCGCCAGCTGTCCCCACCTCTTCCTCTGGTCCTCTGAAGTCTTCTGGGCCCAGGGCTGACCACCCTGGATGCTGGAACTGAAACTGGCTCCCAGCCCCCAATTTCCCTGACCTCTACAGTCACTCCCAGTGGCCACTAAAGATGAGGCCAGGGGCAGCCTCTGGGCAGGAAGGAGTCCCAGGACCAAGACCTCTGGCTGTCCTGCTGTCTCCCTTCGCCCCTGCTACCTGTATTGGCTATTCTGGACGCTGAAGACACACAGTGACCACGGAGCCGGGCTCTACTCCAGTGGATTACACAGACAGATGGCATGCAGGCCTGTGTGGACATCAGCCTTGGCACCAGATGCAGGCAAGGTGCAAGGTGATACTGTAGGCAGCCACCATGGGGGCCAGGAAGCTCCAGTGGAAGCCAAACAACCCAGAATCCAGGACACAGAGCTGAGGTGGAGACAGGGAAGCCAGATGCCAGCCCAGACTGGCCAGGTGCTACGTGCCTGTGAGCCAGGCCAGGCTTGGGGACTTTGTCCTGGGTATGGAGACAGTTACCCCTCAGGCCTTCCCTCTACATCTCTAGCCCAAGCTAAGAGCAAACCCTTAGCTCGGAGTAAGGATTAACCCCCTGCCAGGTTTCTCCCGTTCTCAGGCTTTACCCACCACCTATATTGCCTGGCCCCGCAGGGCACATGCTGAGGCCCAGCCTGGGAAAGCAACTGCACCTGCCTGTGCTATGCTGACCCTTCTCAGCCTCAGTGCCCTCCTCCCTCCCAGACACACCCTCGTGGCCCCTGCTGGGCCCCCAGTGCACCGTGTCTCTATGACAACCTGCTCAGAGTATGGCCTCGCCCTTGGCTCCCCTCCACACCTCTGTCCCAGGCAGTGGGTACATTTGTGGCAGTGCCACAGCACTTGCCTGAAACAGGATAGGCTTTAAAACAGTTCCAGACACTAAATATACCTGCATCTTGGGGCCAAGTAGCTTCTGACAAGTGCCCCTACACACTCTCAGTCCTATCCACTATGGGCGGGGAGCCTGAAGGATACGCCAGGACTAGCCAAAGCCCTCAGCTGCCTCCTCCACCCTCAACATCTGGTTAAACACTTTCACGCGGCCAAGTGGTCCTGGATGTCAGCGTCTTGCTCCCCATGGTCTGCACCTGGACAGGTGTGTAGGTGGGCAGGTGGCAGGTCTCAAGAGCCAGGTGCAAAGAATCTAGGCCAGTGCCCACGATTGCTGCAGTGTCTGTCCCTAGCATGGTATCTAGGGCTCCTATCAACTGTAATCAGAGGAGCCTTTCCAGGCCAGGCCTCCCCCAGGAAGGCTGCAGGCACTGCGGATCGTGCACCCTCACATACATTATTCCTGAGGCCCTTCTGCAGATGCCATCAGGGTAGCAGCTCTGATGAGGTTTTAGGGCACAACACACAGGGCTAAGCCACCCTGTACAGGGCCAAGCACTACAGGCAAAAGGGACACCACTGACAGACATTTCGTTCATCACTTTTGTATTTTTTTTGAGAGGGAGTCTTCCTGTCACCCAGGCTGGAGTGCAGTGGCACGATCTTGGCTCACTGCAACCTCTGCCTCCAGGGTTCAAGTGATTCTCCTGCTTCGGCCTCCTAAGTAGCTGAGATTACAGGTACCCACCACCATGCCCAGCTAATTTTTGTATGTTAGTTGAGACAGGGTTTCACCATGCTGGTCAGGCTGGTCTTGAACTCCTGACCTCAAATGATCCGCCCAACCTGCATGGGTCAGCTTTGCTCCTCCAGGAAGCAGGAAGTTTCCAGGTACCCTGTGGAGCCTCCTCTGTTCCTCAAGTTTCCACCTGTGCTTGGTGGGATGCCGGGTGGCCTCAGATTGATCCCGGGGTCACCAGCGAGGGACGGGAAGCCTACAGCAGGATTGGGATGGGGATGGGACCTCCTGTCCCCTGGCTCTGCAGCTGTGAGGCAGCTTTCCCATGGAAGTCTCCTGGTTGCAGCTAAGATCAGGCAATGGAATCAGAAATGACAGGGCTTCTACTCCAGGGCTCCCTCATCTGGTTAACAGCAAAAAAGAAAATACAATTCCTGCTAGTAAGGTCTAGAGAAAGGAGGTGAAGACAGGAGCCAGCCAGGATAACTTAGACCCTTGCACGTGGCAGTCACACAGCTCGAGGCCTCTCTCCCCCTGGGGCAGGGCTTGGTGAGGAAAGGGCTCCCCTGAAGCACAAAGCAAGCACAGGACCACTGTGGAATTTCAAGACAACTTTATTCAGACAGACGCCTCTCAAAACAGAACACTGGTAACTTAGGCAGCAGTTATTAAAATACACTCTTGCCAAATGATTTACAACAGAACATAACAGGGAGCAGGAGATCTGTGGGTGGGGCCAGGCTGGGCCCTCTATCTCACAGGGCCTGGATCAAGCCCAAACACCCTGCTTAGCAGGGGCTAACCCAGGCTGAGGTCTCGCTTCCTCTTACCACAAATTCACACCTCCATTTTCCCCACCCCCATCTCTCCCTAGGGTCCTCAAGTGGGAGAGGTAGCATCCCTCGGATCCAGGCCCACTCCACTCCACCTCCGGCACCAGAGGGCAGGCTGGGTCTGGGCCTCAAGGGATCCTGGGCTTGGGGTGTCTATGGCAATAGGAAAATGACATGGACAGGTTCTTCAGGGGTAGGCTAAAGTCCTCTGGCCAGCAGTGCCCAGAGAAAATGGGCAGCAGCCGGTAAACCAGCCAGATGGGGTCCTCTGAACCCACAGCAGACCACACCCTCCTGCCCAGACCCTGCCCACACTGGGAGTCAGGACCACTGGGACTCTGGTCAGGATAGTGGGTGCTCTCAGCAGTGTGGCAAGCTCAGAGCAGGGCTCCCAAGGACCATATCACACTGGCTCAAAACTCATAGGTGACACCATCCCAGCAGGAGCTCCCATGGGAGCTGGATCCCAGGGATGCATCCTGAGCACAGGTGGGCAGCCTGGAATATGGCACTAGGACCCAAGGGATCTGGAACATCCTGGGCCCATCTTCTGGGTTACTCCAGCCTGTTTCCAGGACTTGGTGGTGAGTGGGCCTCCTGCCAAGTGGCAAGGCACAACTTAGATCAACCCTTTGGCCTCCATTCCCCATGCAGCTGCCTCTGACTAAGAAGGAACTAGCAGGCCTATGCTGGCCAGACCACAGGTGGGGTGCTGGGAGTCCTCAGGCCGGCTGGCACCCACTCCTGGTGTCCATGGGAGAGACCCACTTGTTCAGATGCATAGGCCTCAGGCGGTTCAAGGCAGTCTTGTAGCCAGAGAGGCAAATAAAAATCAGTTTGAGAGACCACAGCACCCGCTGCTTTGATTGTGATGTTCAAAGGCAAGATGCAAGTCAAGGCAAGTGTCCCAGAGGCCCTGGGCAGCTGAGTGCACCTGTGTTTGAGCTTCCCTGAAGACGGACACTCCCAGCTGACCATCTGAACACCAGAACATCCCCCTTTCCTGGGCTCAGTTCCCAGACTACCTGCTGGTCCGACCTCAACCCATACACTCCCACCCACACTGCAGCTCCTTCCAAACCCTCCCAATAAGCCACCTTTGTGGGACTTGGAAGCTGCTTAGGATGGGCCCTGCCGTCAGTGGGAAGCCAATCCTAGCAGAAAGGTAAGCTAAAGAACAGTCTCAGGATCTGAGACCCAGTGACTGCCCACCCACTCCCAAGCCTTGGGCCTGAAGTACCGGCCTGCCTGTGGCCACTGTGGTGGGCTCACTCCCACCCCCAACAGTGGCCCCAGGAGAGGCTTTCCCAAGAGTTTTCAAACTCTACCCAACCCAGCCCTGGCACCAGGGACTCCCCACCCCCCAATGGAGTGTTAATATCATTAATGTACAGACAAAATCCAAAGATATATCAAAGATGGAGAAACAGCTGGCTCTGACCTCCCTCCCACAGAGCCTTCCCAGGGTTAGCTGAAGATGAGCCCTTTGGCATCTACAGAAGCCAATCAGAGTTTATGGTTTCATTTGCCCAAAAATACACCTTTGGGGACCTCAAATTCTTTCAAGAATCACTACCACACATATGAATTTGAACATTCGCCACCCTTCCACCATCCCTGTTTCTCCCAGGAACTTCAAAATAAAAATGGCCCCACTCTGGGTCCTCGTCTATGGCTGTCTCTTCTTTTCCAGGGGCTGCAGTTCTGATGTGAATGAAAGTGCCGTTCCAGCGCTGGGCCTCTGGCAGGCTGCATCACATGATTGCACAGCACGAGTTTTGTTTCCGGGCCTTGGAAAAAACAAAGCGTTGCTGAGGAGGAGGACTGAGGAAGTCAGGGCAGCCCCAATCCTGGCAGGTGTGGCAGGGGGAGCTCTACTGGACACAGCCAGCCAGATAAACTAGCACTAGAACGGGGTGGGGGTGAAGGCCTTGCGGGAAGCTGTCCACAAGCAATTCCCATACCAAGCACAAGACGGGCCACAGCTTCCAAAACTAGTCTGGGATCCTTTTTTACTTTCTTTTCCCACACTCCATCAATGCTATCAAAAAGTGAGTAAAATTCCTACCGTTAGGCCTGGTACAAACAAAGGAACAATAATACAAATGGGGCTGGAGACGGTGGCTCACGCCTGTAATCCCAGCACTTCGGGAGGCTGAGGCAAGTTAATCACTTGAGACCAGAAGTCCAAGACCAGCCTGGCCAACATAGTGAAACCCTGTCTCTACTAAAAATACAAAAAAAAAAAAAAAAAAAAAAAATCAGCTGGGCATGGTGGCCGGTGTCTGTAGTCCCAGCTACTCAGGAGGCTGAGACACAAGATTCACTTGAACCCAGGAGGCTGAAGTTGCAGTGAGCCAAGATCGCACCACTGCACTTCAGCCTGACTCTGAGACTCTGTCTCAAAAAAAATAAAATACAAATGGGATTCGCAGAATATCTTAACTTTGCCTTTAACTTTGCCCCCACTCTTGTCTTCGAACAATGCTATCTAACCACCATGGTGGTGTTTCTTCCCAGAAGATGGTCCTGAGGACAGCAGATGTGTTTCCCGGTTGGGATGTGGTTTGTAGGGACCACTGTTGCCACCTTCTCTCTAGGTTTCTGGTCACAGACTATCTTCCTAATCCCACCTGGCCATCTCCCTCCAATGTGCACATGAAAGCAAATGAGTGTAGACAGACCATGTAAATTTGTCCCTATGACTGTCCAACTATGGGCCAACAGTGCCATCTCCACATGGAAAGACATGAGCACTGACCTGAGAGAAAGCGGCAGTCAGCAACGCCCATCCTTGTCAGTTAAATACTTCTGTCAAAGGGAGATTAACTAAAAGCTTAAGTACCTCTTTGGGAAGGCTGAATTACTTGCATCTTAAAGACTTAGACTAACTGCTCTACAGAGGAATACGATTCAACACTAAACCTCTGGGGATCAGAACTTGAACCAGCCTTCCTAGACTGGAGGTAAGAGCTCAGAGCAGAGGGCAGAGCAGAGGCAGGGGTGGAACAAGACCTCTGCCTATATCTGCTTCAATGGCACCTAAGTGAACTGCCTCCAACCACTTGGGCCTAAGGCTCACCTTAGGCTCTCAGTGTACAAGGAGGGAAACCCCCATCCACTATGATTCAAAATCTAAGAAAGACCTGTTCATAGTAGAGCATGCCAGAAGCAGCAAGCTGCAACTGCTCTCTGGAGAGAACACCAAGGAGGAGACAGGTGCTAGGTACTCACAGTTTTATAGAAGGCTTTAGACTGCGTTCCAAGCACCTCGGATTTGGACACCAAGTCATCTAGCTTCTCACCTCGCTCTAACAAAGACTCCATGGTGTTGTGCTGGACAAAAGAGAAAAGGGAACCCAGCTCTGTTCAATAAGTTCCCTGACATGAGTCCCTCGTAGTTCAGTCATGGGGGAAAGCGCCTTACCGGGATTCCTCTCCAACACACACAAACTTCACCTCTAAGTGTTAAGACTCGGTCCAAGAACAGTTACTGTCCAAGTGGATGGAACAGAACCTGGTGACATTCCTGTGAAATCTAGAAGATCTAACTGGGATGTAGCAAACTTCCCAAAAAGCTGTCCCCAGCACAGGATTAGATAAACAGCACTCCAGGAAAACTCATGTATACACACATTTATATATACATTTGTGTGTGTGTGCATACGTGTGCATGTGCACAGGGCTCTGGAAAACGAGAAGAGTGGCTGGGCACTAAATGGCTGTACTGGGTTGGATAGTGGCCCCCACCCTCCACCCAAAATTAACATCCCCAGAACCTCTGAATGTGACCTTATTTAGAAATAGGGTCTTTGTAGATATAAGTAGTTAGGAAGATGGCATAGTGGATTAGGGTGGCCTCTAATTCCATGACTGATGTCTTAGAAAATGAAAACACATAAAAGAGAAGGTTACGAGATGGCAGAGGCAGAGCCTGGAGTGATGCATCTCTAATCCAAGGAACACCACAGACCCTCCCTCAGAGCCCCAGAAGACACCAGCCGGGCCCACTGGGCTATTTGTTAACAGCAAATATTTAAGGGTATCTGTTAATAGCAGCCACAGGAAACAAAGGCAGTGGGAAATGGCTGCTGAGCACTTGACATGAGGCGAGTCCAAACTGAGCAGTGCTCTGAGTGAAACATACCAAATTTCAGATGCAGACTCACACATGCCTCATTAATAAGTTTTATACTGATTACATGCTGGGAAAGTTTTATTTGGATATGTTGGGTTAAGTAAAACAGATAATTAAATTCCACCTATTTTCCTTTTATCATTTTAAAATATAGCTCCTAGAAAATTCCAAGTTACACACATGCCACAAATATATATCGGACAACACTATGACAGAACATGTCCTGCCTTCTAAATGGGCTATGTCCTAAAGGTCATCAAACTCTGATTTAGGAAATGAAAACACTGACCCCACAAGAAGGGGTCTAGAGATGGAGGCTTCACAAGAGCCAGCAGCCCTGCTACCAGCGCCCTCAGGAAGCAGCAGCTCCCTTCTCTCCCTAGATGGCCACTGCTACAGCAGCTGGATGCACATATGAAGCGGCACAGAACGAGGAGCCAGCAAGAATGTCCTTCATCCCTATGCAGTTGAGCAACTCAGATTTTCAACACACAAAGTTAACTGATTCAGATATACACACCAATCATCTAGACTTTACAACTGCAGCGAGATGAGGCTGGGTGAATAGGACTCATCCACTCCGCACCATGGGGAGAGGAGAAACAGCAGGTGTCCCAGGTGCCATGATACTCAGACTAGGACTTGAGCAACAGAAAGAAGAGACGGCTTGAGAAGAAAACAGGGAAATGCCACCTAGGTGTTAAGAAAGGTCACAAGGTTTCGAAAGACACAGATTCCATGAAGCTTTCACATCTATCGTTCATTCCAAAGCCACGTTATTCAGAGTATGCTCGGCAGACCTGCATTTGAAGCCCCGGGATGCTTTTTATAAAATGCAGGTTCCCAGGCCCCACCCTAAACCAACAACTCCAACCCCAGGAGATGCTGATGCACACACTAAAGCCATGCCTGTGTAAATGGTAAAGCTTTGTATCTGGGCTTCAATCCACTCCAGGTATCTATCTACTGCTGAATACAGGTGTAAACCAGGCACCGTATCGTGGGCAGGATGGAAAGATGTCCCAGTGCTCATATGCCGGTCAGGGAGACATGTAAGAAAGCAGTGACAAAACTGTGACATTCAGAAAGGCTCAAGCTTCAGGTGCCTGTGTATAAGCTGGACAGGAAAGGGTGTAAGAAAGAACAGGGCCCAGTCAGGAGACTGTGAGTTAGGAGTTTGCACTTTGTCCTGGGGCAGATCTGAGAGCTGCTGAAGGGTTGCTGTGCAGATCAATGACTGCTATCTGGTGGACAGACTGGCCGTGAGCAGGAAGCAAGGGGACCAATTATAGGCAAAGGCTATAGGCTGCTTGCATTTCACTTGTATGCAAAACTTAAGAAAAAAAAAGGAGTTGAAGCAGCAGTTACAAATCAGGAGATTTCAACAGAGAGATCTATCCAGAACAGAACAGTCATAGGATTTGGTACAGCCAGAGGAACAGGTGCTGATAAGGAGCCTCCAATTGGGGATATGATATAAAGGGCAGCCAGGGCCATTAGAGCAGGGTGCTCAACTGGGAGCTCACAGCAGGCTCCAGCAGAGCCATAAAGGAAACTGAAGGCCTGACTCTGGGACCCCTGTGTGCTGTGCCTCCACGATAAAAATCAAGATTTGTGCAACAGTTAAACGAGGTACTACGTGTAAAGAACTTGACACAATGCCTGCACACACACAAATCAGGAGAGTTCAGCAGTTACAAATCAGGAGATTTCAGCTCAAAATGCAGGGTTCTGGCTCTTCTCAAATGGACCTATGTGACAACTCTGGGCCCGTTTGTCAGAAGCTGCCCTGTGGTCAGTGTACTGTGCTTCAATCTGTTCACCTTTAAGGCAAACGCTGCAAGGGAAGGCACCTGTGGGGTGTGGAGGCATCTGACATCAAAGGCACCAGGCTGGAAATCCAGGCCTTCAAAGGCCAAACCCTAGGAACCCAGTAAATGCCCAGACAGGCAGTAGCCATGGGGAGGGGGCACTTGAGGGCTCCAATGGTTCCCAGCTTGGTCCCCTACAAACAATGGGTGTCATTAACCAAAACAAGGATATAGGAGAGCCAGCCTAATGCCTGGGGTGGGGCAAGGAGTGGGCAATCCCACTTCCTGGAGAGTGCTGTGGTTACTATTAAGGATGGATCTGTGCATGCCTGGCCAGTGGCAAATCGCACCCCCGCCTCAGTTCTTGGGCTTGCTCTCCATCTTCCTACTTACCAGAATGACTTTGGTCTCATCTAGTTCGGCCTGCACTTTACTCATGGGATCAGCTTCTCGTGGGTTCTAGGACAGAGTGAAAAATAATAGAGTCAGGACTGAAGTGGCTACCCGGAAACAAAGCCTAAAACTGAGGAAGGTGGACAAACTTTCACAGGTTAAAAACCACAGCCTGTTGAACAAGTAACAGAAACCCAAAGCCTGCCTAGAGCTTTGGTTCCCAGGTCTGAAGGTGGATTCTGTTTTCCACACAGAAGGCTTGAGAGAGAACACCAGCATCAGAAGCTGTTTGACGTAACCAGACCAGAACTATGAGAGCAATTGGCTTTTTCAGTTTCACGTGGATTCTGGGCTACATGGTGTCTGCATGAAGCTTCCTTTAACCCTACCTGGTATCTACTGAGGTGACCCTCCAGGGCTGTATAATTGATTGTAGCAGGGGATCCTACTGGCCAGTCTATCCTGTCAACTTGCTTGGAGAATTCATCTAGTACCTGCAAGACAAAGAAGCCTCAAGAAGCTCCCACACTGTACTCACCAGTGGTCTCAACGACAACGTTTCAACCCTGAGCACCTCACCTTGAACGAGACTCTCTGATCCCCAGAGCCCAGGAAGAAGGAATGAGGGGGATGTATAATGGCAAGAGAGAAAATCTAAGCTAAAGTTCTTTCCAAGTTTTTATCATTAAAACATATCCTAAATATTCTGAGAATCAAAAGTATGCCCGGCCTGAGATGAACCTCACCTGGGGAGTAATAAAGGTATTTGACTTTTTAAACTATAGAATTCCTGAAAAAAAGGGCACTGGCCCTCTAATTTTCCAAAGTGATTTTTTTAAAAAAGAGAATTAGTCCCCTGGATTTAAGAAACCACCAGATTTCATGTGTTTGGAGGTATTTTGGTGCTCTGGGTTATAGAATGAAGCCTCTGACTTCAAAGAGTTTACATTAATAATTAGTACTGCATACACAAATAATTAAAGAATGCTTAGGTGCTAAGCTGAGATGCAACTGACTGACATCAAGGTAGAGGGATGCAGGAACTGCAGGAGGCAATGTGGAGAGTGAGGGCATTCAAGAGGGAGACTCCTTGAGCAGAAGCACAGGGGGTGAGAACACGAGGCTCAGCTGTCTCAGAGGGTCCCGACCCAGAGAAGAGATGCTGTGACTCAGTGGCCTAGACCCAGGTCACATAAGATAGCACCAGGGAGGAAACCCACGCAGGGATGCCAAATTGTCTCTTGGGTTGCAGGGAAGGGGGCTGAAAAATGTGTTGACTTTGGACACATTATTTCATCCCTTATGCCTCAGGCACTGCCATCACCCCCTGCCCCAGTCCATGAAAATGCCCATTCATCATCCAAGTCCCGTAGAGGCAAATCAAAAACTCACCTTCTCCAGCAAGGTAAAGGCCACCCGAGATGGGTATTCATTGTCAGCAATGACCACACCTGCAAGACTGTCATTCCGGACATAGACATGGCACAGATAGTCTAAGGAGACAAGAGATCAGACACATGGATGCTGACATGAGGGCTTCAGACTTCTTTTAATTGCCCCAAATCAAAGCATCACAATGCTGGGCCAAATGAAGCCACTCTGAAGCTCAACAGCTCTGAGCAAGGCTTGTGGAGAGGCGCAGCGCGGCCCAATGGGCCACACACAGGAGCTTGGCCAAACACCTGCTTTAGGAACAGTAAATACCCAGAGGCCCAGTATGCAAAGCCAGGGCTTAAATGAACAGCCAGTGGTGCAGAAAGCACTCCCCAGACAACACGGCACCAGGAGCACTTCCAAGCATCTTCTTCAAGCTCAGGTCAGGCCAACCTGTATCTTGGGGATCTGAAGCCCCTGGGGCCCTGTGCTGCTCCCAAACTTAGGGAAGTCAAGCGGCCTCTGCTTTCCTAAAAAATCATTTCAGAGCAGCCAAAAGACAGGAAATTACCTCCCAGGGCCTCAGTCTTCCATATTATAGCAACCTGCCGGGTTTGCTCCACTCTGGTGGGTGCCTGGGAGTAGGGGGATTAGTCTAGAAAAAGATCAGCCACTGCCAGCTAAGGCCTCTAGTGCACTGTGCTAAAATCCTCATATGATTGAAAGGTACAGTTGTACAGGTCTTCTGCAAAATATTCACAATCCAGAGGATTGTTCATTTACATCACTTTTAAAGGATTCAGAGTTGATACAGCTAACCATATCCCCAAGGAAACAGAAACGTAAGGATTACAGCTTACGAATAAGAACCTTCTCGTCCTTAAGGATCTGACCCAGAAGATTCCAATGCTAAACAACAGAAAAACAAATAAAAGAGGAGGGAATGATGGTGAACCCCTGAAATCAGAAAAGAGCAGAGATAAATAAGAACAGGAATGAGGAGGAGGAAGAGAAAAGGGGATTATCACCAAATCTCTCCAGATTTTGTATACCATCCCCAATTAAGATTCAAACATGGGGTCAAAGTGCACACCCTCCAAAGAAACTGAGAAGCTGGTCAGTGGGGGAACTGTCTTTAAGTAATAAAGGTGGGAAGGACAGGCACAATTTGAAAGAGAACAGAGTAAGATCACTGAAATATTTGTGATGCCATTTTACTTCTGTGATGTTAACAGCACAGAAATCTCACATAGAGGAGGGTGGGGTCCCAGTAGAAAGGAGAGAGCTGGGTGCTGCATGAGGTGAGGCATGGCAGCCAGGTCAGCACACATGCAGAAGTTGGAGGGTCCTCTTACCTTGTTCTTTGACAGAAGCTCTAGTGCCTTTCGATGAGCGCTCCACAATCAGTTGACTCGTGAAGGTCATAAATTCCTGAACGCTAAGAAACACAAAATGTATTTACTGCCTTCTTCTTATCACCTTGTCCCCAACACAGTGGAAGGTGACCTCTCGGCTTATACATTAAGGAGACATTGTTTCTTGGTTTCATTTCTTTCCCTCCCATCCCTAGTAATAAACACTCTATAAATGAGCACAAATACTAATAATTATGAATCACTGTCACCATTCAAGCTACATCTGTTTGCTACCTAGCTCACCAAAACAGGTGAATTTTCTTGGGGATCTTCCACAGGGTACAGTCAATTTTACATTTTGGTCAGAGCACAATTTGGGATGCAATGGAGAAACAAGAAGGCAGGTCCTGCTCTCAAGGTCCCAATAACTTCCAAGAAGCAGGACAAATAAGAACTGCACTAGGAAAATATTAGTGCAAAAACTGTCAGGCGAAAATACACAACCATTTACGGCTGTGTCCACATGACAGACCCTCACATTGCCACATACACCCATAGTGAATGCTAGCTCAGGTCTGCTGGGGCTTGTCCACAGAACGAGCACAAGGCACTCTGGAAGGAATAAAAGGAAAACAGCTTATCCAAGACAAGGAATTGGGAAATGGCACATACAAAGGATGAAAGGAAGGAGAAGGTCCATCATGGGCTCAACGGAGAGATCTATCCAGAACAGAACAGTCATAGGATTTGGTACAGCCAGAGGAACAGGTGCTGACAAGGAGCCTCCAATTGGGGATATGATATAAAGGGCAGCCAGGGCCATTAGAGCAGGGTGCTCAACTGGGAGCTCACAGCAGGCTCCAGCAGAGCCATAAAGGAAACTGAAGGCCTGACTCTGGGACTCCTGTGTGCTGTGCCTCCACGATAAAAATCAAGATTTGTGCAACAGTTAAACGAGGTACTACGTGTAAAGCACTTGGCACAATGCCTGCATACACAGTATTACTTGTTGGTATCTTGAGGGACTGCTGTGATCAAAATAACCCCTCAGAAAAGAAGACCCCAAACAAGGAGGGCTTTGAGGTAGGGCTAAAATGAGACAAAGGAAGAACTGCATTGTGACAGCATGTATACAAAGGCCAAAAAAGCTGGGAAACTATTTTTTCAAGTTTGGGATCTGGTAATTAATGGGGCAGGAGGGATGTAAGTGAAGAGGTCTTATAAGAAAACAAGCTCAGGCCAGAAGCCATGACTCATGCCTGTAATCCTTGCACTTTGGGAGGCCAAGGCAGATGGATCACTAGAGCTCAGGAGTTTGAAACCAGCCTGGCAAACATGGTGAAAACCTGTCTCTATTAAAAATACAAAAACTTTAGCCAGCGTGGTGGTAGGCGCCTGTAATCCCAGCTACTTGGGAGGCTGAGGGAGGAGAAACGCTTGAAGCCAGGAGGCAGAGGTTGTAGTGAGCTGAGACGGCACTATTGCACTCCATCCTGGGTGATGGCACAAGGCTATCTCAAAAAAAAAAAAAAAAAACAAGCTCAGCTGGACATGTGTTGTTCTAAGACCTATTAGTAGAGATGTCTCTTTAGTGTTGTAGCTGTCAGTCACTGGAAACTAGTGTGGGTATCCCAAGCAAGTGAGGTGTAAGTCCTACAAGCGAAATCTCTGAGAATTCTAAGTACTAATGGGAAGGAAAAAGGAAAAAGAATCAGAGCCAAGTTGGCACCAAAAGTTCCATCTGAGAAAAGCAACAACACAGAGTGAATGTAGGCCATGGTAAAGACTGCAAATATCAAGAACTCCAAGAAGGAGCTAAAAGATGATGCAGCAATTCTGCTTCTGGGTAAATACCAAAAAGAAATGTGAGCAGGGTCTTGAAGACATATTTGTACATCCATGTTCATAGCAGTATCATTCACAATGCCTGAAATGTGGAAGCAGCCCAAGTGTCCACTGACAGATGAATGGATAAACAAAATGTGAATACAGACAATGGATTATTCAGCCTTCAAAAGGAAATTCTGATATGTACAACAAGATGCCTGAGCCTTGAGGACATTATGCTACGTGAAATAAGCCAGACACACAAAAACTATATGATTCCATTTATCTTAAGCTGCCAGAAAAGTCACAATCACAGAGACAAATTAGAATGGTGGCTGCCATGAGCTGGGGGTGATGGGAATGGGGAGTTGGTGTTTAACAGAAACAAGTTTGATAAAAAGGAGTTCTGGAGACTGGTGACAGTGATCGCTGCACAACACTATCAATCTATCTTGTATCACTGCACTCACTCCACCCTTAAAGACAGTGAAGATGATAAATTTTATGTGCCATTTTACTACAATTAAAAAACAATTTTTTAAAAGAACTCAAAGGAGCAGAAAGTTTCAACAAAATAAGAGATTTTTTTTTTTACATCCAGCAAGTCACTAGCAAAGAACTCTCATCAAGAACCAGCTGCACTGAAGCAGGGAAAACAGAATCCAAATGGCAGATTCCATCAGACTTTGAGACAAAATGACCGTGGAAACTGACCATGCAGGGTCCTTCTTCTTTGGTGCCTGAGTCACTCCACTCCCTCCCATGAATGGTCTGGAAGTGTCTGTTGTACTTCTAACACGTCCCAGCAATTAAAGCACTCCAGAAACATTTAAAAGCTTGTAAGCCCTACAGATCCCATGCTTCTTTTGAGTCTTCAGTGTGGAATCCTTTTGTACGACTAGTGTCCAAGAAAAAAGGGTTAAATCTGGCTTTCAGTTCTAGCTCGTTGTGGTATAATCTCTTGGTACCTCAGTGACTTCACCCATCAAAAAAAAAAAAAGTATATCAGTATCTCTCACACTGAATTGTTGGGAAGCCCTGCCCGATAATCAAAGTATGGCTCTCAAGATGTGGCACCCAGGCTCCCAGAGTCGGAATCCCTGGATGGAAGGTGTTGGTCTAACATATAGATTTCGAGGCCTCGATCTACTAATTTAGAACATCTGGGCATGAAGCTTGGAAACCTGCACTCCATTTTACATTACCCTTAAAATTTTTACAAGTCAGAAATTTGAAAAACACTGTGTAGAGAGCTATATTCTAGCATAGCATAAGCTTTTTAAGAGCGAATGTTGGATGATTCCTCAGAGGTACAGTCCACGGGCAGATTCCACTACAGGAGGCCAAGCCCGAACCACGGACCCTGGGCCATCCCCGCCCCTCCCCAGACTGGAACTGCAGCCTTCTCTGATCCCAGGCCCTCGGGCACCCCGCCCAACCCCTACCCTCCAGCCTCCTCCATCCTCCCCTGATCCATCCCTCGACCCTGGCCCCAGTCCTCTCCGCCCGATCCCCACGGCCCACCCGCCTGCGCCACTCACCTGGATCTCTGGAAAAAGCTGAAGGAAGACACATCGTGCGCGGCTTTGAGCAGCACCACCTTGGCGTCGCCTTTGTAGAGGACGCTGAGGCTATATAGCTTCATGGCTCCGTGCCTTCAGGCCGTCCGCCTGCCCAGCCGCGGGACCCGCTCTCAGGGAGCAGCGCGGCCGCCGCCTCTTCGGACCGCCGCCGCCCACCGGCCTCTCAGCCGCCGGCTGCTGACGGGGCCACCGCCGGCTTCCTCCTCCTGGTTCGCAATCCACTTCCGGATCCGGTCAGCCTGGCTGTGGGTTCTCATACCCCGGATGCAGAAAGGAGTGGACGGGGGCACATTGCAGCGAGAGGCGGAACCCCACGCCTCCCGTGAGCCTGGCCCCTCCCTGCTCTCCAGGTGGAGTCGGCCGCAAGGTGGGGTACTGTGCCGTCTTGTGTTGCGTGGTGCTGGGCCTCTCGGAGCGGCTTGAACCCTCCGTCGTGGTCCCCAGCCCCTCAGGGCTGTGCTGAGCCGTCCAGGTCACTCTCACTCTGTACGCCAGGTAACAAGTGCAGTCTATAGGTCCATAGCTACTTCTTGGGCAGTGAAACCCAGGGCAACACCGAGGCGCCAGTTCTCTGCATATCTTCCGAGAGGCAGGACCCTTTTGTTTCAGAGGCCCCTTCAGGTTTCAGATCATTGACTGCTCCTGCCGCGTGGAGGAGCAGACCCCGGGTGACACGGGACCCCAAGGCACAAGGCTGCCGGGATGCATGGGAAAACACTGATTTAGGACTTCACAGAGGAGCAGAGCCTGTTTACCTCTAAAGCCGGCAGAAATTGAGTTCCACACTGCAAGGAGCAGCTTGGTGCACAGTGACGTTGAGAACTTTTTGCTTGAGTTGTTGAAAGAAAGCAAGCCCACGGATGGGAATGAGTGAGGCACAGTTCCCTGAAGATGCCGTACCTTGCCCATTTCTTGTGTAGTAAGTGATATCACGTGTTACTAAACTAAACGGGGTGCGTTTGCCTACGCACAACGTAAAACCAAACATCCAAGCATTGGATTTTTGTAGCAAGAAAGATTTGTTTTCAAGCAGCCTTGCAAGGAGACAGAAAATGGGCTCAAATCGGTCTCCCAGTACTTGCTTCGCAGCAGTAGATTTAAGGGAGAGATTTTGGAGGCGGAGTTTCGAGCTGGGCAGTGATTGGCTGAAACGAAGAAGCGGTTAGAAAATCCCTTGGCCATATGCTGTTGCTTCTTCATACTGTTTCCTGGGTCACGTGCAAATTCAGGAGAGTTGGTATAAAACAAAAATGTGGAAATTCGGGCTGTGACATCAAAGACCCACTCATCAGGCTAATAAGTCTATTTTGCCAAGGCTCCAGTCGGCCATATTGGTTGCAACCTGTTTCAGCAAGTTGTATAAGCAGAGGGCATTATAGCAAACTGTTTATCAGCTGCCCTGCAAGACAAGATAAAGATTTCTATTAGTTACTAGTTTCTTTAACCCCCTCAGACACAGCTTCACATGTAATCAGAAAGGAACTTGCAAGACATATGCATCTGAAAGGACCTTGGTCTTTGGAAGTTGTCAGTAAAGGTCACAAAATCATGATGCCAGAAGCAGCCGTATCTGAGATTATGGGAAAGAGATGATATATTGAAAAAACAACAGCATCACTTTAAACATTACTCTAAATCAAGGTTTCTCAACCTCGGCAATATGGACATTTTGGGTTGGATAGTTCTTTGTTGTTGAGAGACTGCCTTGTGCATTGTGCTGGCAGCATCTCAGGCCTTGTACCCACTAGATGTCAGTGCCAACCCACCCCCTCCCCACTGCACAATCAAAAATGTCAAAATGTCCCTTGGGAGCAGTAGTTTAGAGAAACATTGCTCTGTGTGTGTGTGTGTGTGTGTGTGTGTGTGTGTGTACTTGTTTGTTTTGTTTTGTTTTGAGGCAGGGTCTTGCTCTGTTGCCCAGGCAGAAGTGCCGTGATATGAACTCGCTCACTGCAACCTCTCCCTCCTGGGTTCAAGCAATTCTCGTGCCTCAGCTTCCTGAGTAGCTGGGATTACAGGCGTGCACCCCAACACCCAGCTAATTTTTGTATCTTTAGTAGAGACAGGATTTCACCATGTTGGCCAGGCTGGTCTTGAACTCCTGACCTCATGCACTCCACCCACCTCAGCCTCCCAAAGTGCTGGGATTATAAGCATGCGCCACTCTGCCCAGCTAAGAAACATTGCCTTAATTAATCTGTGGTGAAAGGAAGTTCCCACCACCTGCCCACTTACACAGTACCTCTCTCACCAACCCTCTTTCTTGGGTGTTTCCAGGTACAGAGGGTGGAAAGGGGTTTTCCACATTTCCTCTGTTTTGGTGGTAAACATCAGGAGCAGCCATTGGCCATGGCTAGGCTCAGCCATCCACAGATACGTAGTCTGACAAGCTGGGTTGCTGGGTGCTATCAGTCCAGGCTCATCTGACTGCATTGACACCATTTCCCTGTAGGAGGCAGATGAGAGCCATTTCTCAGGAAAATCTGGAACCCTCTCCCTTCCACTGAAAGTTGTGCAAAAAGATCAGGAAGACAGTGCTTGGATGGAATAAATTTCAGTGTATTCACCTGACACATTATAGTAGTTGTCCCAAAGTTTACCTTATACCAAGTACTTTCCATGTGCTACTTCATTTAATCCTCACAAAAAAACAGGGGAAGATATTATTGCCACCTTACAGACATAGAAACTGAGATTCAGTTTAAGGAGATTGTTAGTAAGGGACAGAGTTGGGGTTCAGATGTCAACAGTGAAATGCTTAACAGTCATGCAGCCCAGCTCCGCCCCTGGCAACTCTTCCTGCTCCTCTCTGGCCTTGCTCAGCCTCTACCATTCCAGGAAGCCTCATTCATAGTCATGTGGTTGCAGACTTCCCAAGTTCACTGTGTTACCGAAAAGCAAGACCTGCCTGCCTTCCACTCTGTCACCCTGGCTGTCACCCAACTTGGATTCAATCCCGGCACTGACACATCACAGAATCACAAAAGTGAGCAAACGGTTACCTCCCTGAGTCTCCTTTTTTCCTTCGTCTATAAAACTAGACAAGTATTCTTTCCACAGGAATGTTGTTGGGAATGATAAAACATTATATTACAAGCTCTAGTGATTGCTGATATTTAACAGGTGATAATTATTTGTGTTCTCATTAATGAGAAAAAGGATTATTAATCATAGTGGGTTGAAGGTGTTCTACAGTCTATGGGAAGTAGAGATTTGAAGATAGGCTAAAACCCAACTAAGACCTCTAGATTAAACAATAGTATTGTATCTATTTTAATTTCCTGCTTTCAATCACCATGCCATGGTTATATAAGAGAGGTCTTTGTTTATAGGAAATATGCATAAGAATTTAGAAGTAAAGAGACATTTTGTCTGCAAATTACTCGCTGTGTGTGTGTATGTGTGTGTGTGTGTGTGTGTGTGTGTGTGTGTGATAAAGCAAATACAGGAATCAGCGTGAAAGGTATCTAGGAATTTCTTGTTGTCCTTGCAACTGTTCTGTAGGTACAAAATTGTGGGAATGGAAAATGCAGGGACGGGGCAGTAAGGCTATGAATGAAGCCTGCACAGGAGTGTGGGTAGCAGAGTTCTCTAGTCCAGGCTTCCCGCTTTGGTGCTGGGACCTAGAAGAAAAGCCTTTCTGTAGACAGAACTGGAGTTAACACTGTCCAAGATAAACAGCCCAGGCCCTCTAAGTTTGCCCCACTGGGCAAAACAGGTACCCACCCACTTTTGCAGCCTTGCCCAGCTCATATAAGGTGCCAGCCCTTGCTATACAGCAGAACCTTTGAGGAGTTGGGAAAAAGTCTATCAAGGAGCATACCCCCAGAAGGCCCAGTCCAGGTGGGGAGCCCAGCCACACGATGGTCCTTGCCCCCACACCTCCTCATTCAATTAGCCAAGGCCAAGGCATGTAGCTGAGCTATATGCCTCCACAGCCCAATAGGAAAGAGGTGTGGAAAGGGGCTACTAATGTGGTCAGGCCTCCATGGCCTGAGTAGTTCACCAAGCCTCAGGTGCACAGACTTGACGTCAGCAGACACAACCCCCAGGAGAACTGCTCCCCACCACAACCCCACACTGAGGCATCTAGGGCTCCCTCTGGGTTCTCCAGGCCACAGGGAAGACAGGCATAGTCTGCCACCAAAGGCTTGAGCTCTGCCACTGGCTATGAAGCAATAGGGGGTGTCAGAGTAAGGGAGGGACAGGACAAGAGTGTATATGGGCAGGAAGGTATTACAGCCAAGGAAGACAGGAGGCAGGTGCCCTGATTTTGAGACTGTGCCCCCGCAGGGGCTTCCCAGAAGTTGTATTTGTCCTAAGACACCCCTCTGCAGCTGGGGGGCCAGAAGTGGATAGGTAACTGTATTCGGCCATTTTTGTATTGCTATAAAGAAATACCTGAGACTGGGTAATTTATAAAGAAAAGAGGTTTCATTGGCTCACAGTTCTGCTGGCTCTGCAGGAGGCATAGTGCTGGCATCTACTCAGCCTCTGAGGAGGCCTCAGGAAACTTACAGTCATGGCAGAAGGCAAAGGGGAAGCAGGTACATCACATAGCGGAAGCAGGAGTGAGAGAGAGAGAGGCATTAGGAAGTGCCACACTTTTAAACAACCAGATCTTGTGTGAACTCAGAGCAAGAACTCACCCATTACCAAGGGGATAGCCCAAGCCATTCATAAGGGATCCTCCCCCATGACTCAAACACCTCCCACCAGGCCACACCTCCAACATTGAGATTACAATTCAGATGAAATTTGTTGGGGACATATATCCAAACCATATCAGTAGCCATGCTGGATGAATGCCAGGAATTTAGAATTGGGACACATAGTCATTTAGGCCAGTGGCTTGTCCTGTTGATGATACCCTGATGGCCATGGGGCTGCCCTGTATGAAAAGGGAGAGAAAGTCTGCAGAGCTAGCAAAGAGGGGCAGGTGGGAAGGCCTGCAGAGGAATCCCCTGCTCCATGACCAGGCATGTACCTCCCACATCCTCCAGGCTTTAGGTCCAGTGAGAGCAGAAAGGAGGATGCAAAGGAAGGGAAAGAACACAAGGTGTTCCCTTGGAAAGGGGACACCAAACACAACCTAACAAACAACAACAGTGAGCACACAGGGAAAGTCCTCACAGGAAAACCACATCATGACCTAGAGGCTCATCTACCTCTACCACGTGGTGCCCTGGGCCTGAGCCTGTCAACCAGTGGTCCTTATTGCCACAGCAATTGATCTATGGATGGGCACCTGATCCAAGCTTCAGCCAATCAACAGGCCACTCAGCTGGCCATCAGTAGGCCATCCAATCAGAGCAAAGCTCAGGACTTTGTTCAACACTTAAGAAGAGAGAGGCAAAGTAACTGGCACAGATTGGAGAGGGTCAGGGAACGCCAAGCAAGATACATACAAACTTTGAGTTATCATGGATGATTAAATACATATGTTTGTGTGAACCCCCTCCCTAATATTCTCCCTTATAATGACACAAGACAAAGGGCAAGGAGAGAACAATTACAAGGTGGCACAAATGGGAGACGCTACCAAGGGTGGCAGGGGAGAGAGGGGAGCAGGTGTGAAGTAGGAGGCAACAGGCCAGGGAGCAGGGGCCAGCAGGGTGGGGGAGGGGCTGAAGCAGAAGTGTTGAGTGTCTGGAGGGATGGGGCCAGAGAGAAAAAGGGCATCCTGAAGAAGCTCCACCTGGGTGGGGGTAACCCCCCATATAGGCACCGAGGAATGAGAGCTAAACAGAACTCTGTCACAGCTAGGGCTTGAGGAATATCTCACTTTATAGTGTTACTACCCAGCTATTTCCTTTTATATAATCCTTTACATAATCATATATTAGTTTATAGAATTAGGGCTTGAAGAATCCCTTTATATAATCCTCTAGATATAATCATATAATAGTTGATAGTATGAGTGCCTAAAGAATATTTCCCTACATATATACCTATAATTATATCTTAGTTCTTATCAGAGGAATGTCTAGAGTGGACACAGTACAGAGCATGAATTAAGGGATAAGCAGCTTATAATTGGAGGAATGCCTAGAGCAGGCACAGTGCAGAGCATGATTTAAGGGAAAAACAGTCATACCGGACAAGAATCCATGGCCCAGGTGGCAGCGTTCAGTATCGTAAAGATACCTGCTGTATGGCAGGCTTGGGGCAAGAGCCACTCCTCCTGATAAAGGAGTTGTAGGACTTTGCTCCAGTTCTTGTGGAAGGCCGCCCTCAGACCTGCAATCCACCTTGGTGACTGTGAACTTTATCAGCTCTTGCTACTGTGCTGCTTGAAAAGCATCTTCCCATAGAACCCACTGGAAGCTGCCAGAAGGTGGCGGTAACCTTGACAGCTCTGCCACTGCTATATGACTTAAAGCATCCTCCTATAAATCTTCTTAGAAGTAGTTTGCCCATAGATAGAAGTATTGCACACTGCACCCTCTTCACTGCACACGGCCCACCTTCAAGCCTCGGTGACCTAATGGGGGTGGACCCCTTACTGCACACGGCCCTTGCCTTCATGGGAACGGGCCCCTTGCTGCGCACTGTCCACCTCCTGGCCTAGGTAACCTAATGGGAGTTGACCCCATCTTTTATTGCTTACGACCCTATCACTATCCTTAAAGATGATTTTACTCGCTGCCCTGCCCCCTAACCTATACACAATAAATACACATGCTTCTGGACATTTGGGGCCTCGCCTGACTCCGCTTATAGGTGGCGTGGCCCCCCGAGCCCAGCTGTGTTTTCCTTGTACTTCTGTGTCCTGTCTCTTTATTTCTCGGATCCTGCACCTCAGCACAGCGTAAGGCTCACCCCACGACCCTGTGGGTCCCTCAGCCCTACACCTGGGGAGGGCAGCTCCCTCCCCACCTGCTCCCCAATTCATCAGCCAGGAATGTACCATCCACCCCACCCCAGGGAGGAGGACAGAGGACTTTCCTTTGGGTGCATTGAATGGTTCAGAGATTCTGCCACTCTGGGGTCCTCAACTAAACCACTCATTGTTTCAAGTAGACCCTGATGGGTAAATGTTCCCCATTGTAACCAGACTTGGATTCTGCTGCTTGAAAGCCAAATACAAAAGTAGAGGTTTGGTGGGAGGAAAAGTAGTTTTAACCAGAGCCAGCAAACTGAGAAGATGTTGAATTGTTGTTTTAAAGCATTCTATTATCTCAGGTTTTAAAATGTATCATCGGATTCTCAAAGGAAAACTTGGAATGGGAGATACATGGGAGCAGTGCAGGGTACAGGGTCTGTGTGTCTTGTTCCCATGGTTGTCTTGAGTAATCACCTGTCCTGATGTTATCTTGACTTCGGCCAGGTGGTGGTGGACGAATTGTTCTGACTCCCCCTAAGTTGGAGGATTCTGCAGGAGTTCTGTGTCTGGTTTTTGTTTCGAGATTAGCCCCTGGAATTCCCAAGTAAGCATATAGTTAGATAAGCAGGCGCAGTGCAAAGGAGTGTCTAGTGGGAAAGGGAGAGAAGCAGAGTTTCAAAGCACATTTCAAGGCTACATTTTAAGACTAAAGAAAAAGGCTTTGAAACGCATTTTAAAGCTGAGATGCTCGGCTCCACTAGGCTCTGGCCAATGTGCAGTGCGGCTGCCCTTGGATCAGGTGACATTTCAACCAACTGGAGACTCTGCTCCTCAGAACAGGAGTGCAGGAGACCCTGAGACACTGCCCTAGGACCTGAACAGGTGGCAAAGGCTTAACAGACTAGCAGTCACTGCAGCGACAAGGTGATTGAGTGGTCACCATGGTGATGGGGATGGAGGCTCTTTGCCATCAGTCCCAGTTTTATGCATGGCAGCTCTAATGACAGGATGGTCAGCCCTGCTGAGGTCACTCCTGGTCACCATGACAACCACAGGCCCTCTCAGGAGCACAGAAGCCCTGGCAGGAGTATCCCCCACTCCACACTTGGTTGGAGCAAGAAGTGCCAAGTGGCGCCTGAGCCCCGGGGAAGCAGGCTAGGTGTGAGACACAGTCACCTGCAGCCTAATTACTCAAAAGCTGTCCTCAGGCCGCAGGAGGGAGAGGACCTTTCCTACGGAGCCTGTCTGAAAGACACTAAGCCCCACAGCTCAGCACAACTGGGAAAGAAGGCACTGAGAACGCCACCCAAGCGCCAAGCAATGGCCCTGCCTGGAGAACACCCGGGTGCAGTGAGGAAGGGTCTGGAAGGGAACGCTTGCCAACTCTCTGGAGAACAATGAAAAGGAGGAAACTGACTGAACCTCAAACCCCAAACCAGTCTGAGCAGGATCATATTCTCCCGGGGACCTAGGGCGGGCTGTGACCCCTGCGGGGGAGAAGCCTTGGACATTTTCACTTCAGAAGCCTGTTGGGGAAGGCTGAGGGGTCCCAGCTCCCCACGCTGGCTGCTGTGCAGATGCTGGATGACAGAGTCAGGATGGAGGCCGCCAAGAAGGAGAAGGTAGCTCGCCCTCCATTGGGCATTCTGGGAGTGTTTGCTTGCCTGTCCCCAGCATTCCGTGGTGTGGCACTAATGAGGGTTTGAAACTGAGAATCTGATGTTATGCACAGGCTCTTTGAGAAGGGTCTTTCCAGGGGTGCCTTGTGGGGCAGAAAGGCCCCAGCGGCCTGGCAGACCTGTCCAGCTTTGGACTCTGGCCCTGCGACCTGGAAGTTAGGCTGCCAAGAGGTCCGGGCAGTGGCCTCCACTGGGGAGGGGTTCTGGAGAGTTTAGAGCCCTAGATGGGGTTGGGGGGGCAGTTAGGGATGCGACGTCTTGTGGGAAAAGCCCACTACCTGATTTCGAGACAACACTCACTTGACATGGTGACAAGTCAAAGATGCCTCACCTCCTCACAGGAATGACTTCACAGGGCTGCTGTGGCCTGCTGGGGCATGTAGGACAGTTGCTTTTTCCAAAAACAAAGAGAAATTCAGGCATGCTCTGAGCCAGCCCTGAGCCCAGAAGTGAGCAAGGAGAGAGCTGGGGACAGGGGACTTTGCTGTGAAACACTGGGGGGAACGTGCCTGCATCACCCCAGCTGGGGGCCCAGGCAGAATTGGGGAGAAGGGGTAAGTGGGCAGAGCCAGTCACTCTGGGCATGCTTCCCTCTTGCCTCTGTGTGAAATGACCAGGTCAGCATAAACCCCAGGCTGGCTCTGCTTCTGGCAGAACTAATGATGTTAGGAGGAAAACAGCCAGCCCAAGTGAGAGGGTGTGCAGCCAGACAGCTGGACCGGCCAAGGCCCCAGCCAAGTCCCAGATCTGCCTGTCACTGGTGCTATGGCAGCAATTTGGATAAGAAATCCTGCCCCAAGGGGCCCCTTCAGGCCACCTGGGGAGAAGGAGGTGGCTCTCTGTGGCATGACCAGAGAGATGGCTTAAAGCTGGGGAGGGGTGGACATGTGGGCTGTGGAGAGCCGGCACTTTCCCCAAATGGGGAGAGAAAGCACAGTGTGCCCGTGTGTATGTGTGTGCGTGTGAATGTGCTATGTGTGCATGTTTTTGCCTGTGCTTATGTGTGCATATGCATACCTCCATGTGTACATGCATATGCACACATGTGTGCACAGGGAATCACTTTAATAAAGGCCACAGCAGAGCTGTCCCCGAGCCCCTTGCGTTCACAGTGGCATGTGAGTGAGCCACCTTCTTGGGCTAGGCATCCAGCCTCAGACTCTGAGGCTGCCCATGCCCCATCCTGTATCTGCTCCGTGTCTGAGGGGGTGCTGGTCCTGACCAGGGCCAGCTGTTGACCCCAGAACTCTGAGAGGTCACTGACACCCTTGTCAGGGCCAAGAATGGAGCAAGGCAATGCCTCAGGCACAAACTTTAAGGGGTCACCAGAAACATCAATCATCAAGATTACATGTTATTTTAAATAATCCAAATGAATGTAAACAAATTATGACGGACAAAATACCAAATTTTAAACAGACAGGATGAGTATCACTGACTTCTGCACTTGTCTCTGCTCCACCTACTCCTCCTCCAGTGCCCCGATCGCAGGGTGCCAAGTTCCAGATGAGGGAAGCGTGGAGCTGCAATGGCCACTCCTGCCTGCTTGCTCTGACTGCAGAGAGGACTTGGTCCTTGTCTCGGGGGAACCAGGCTTGGTTTTAGGGTCATCCTAAGGATCTGATGTTTTCCAAGTGAGCTGGCTGCCCAGGCCGACCCAGGTCCAGTCCAGTGTCTCTGGGAAGTGCTGCCCCTACCCCAAGCCAGTGTTTGACCTTGGAGCAATGAGCAATGCCCTCCTTGCCCTTTCAAAGTTGTCCCCAAGACATCAGCTGTGGTTGTCTCTATGCAGACTCCCAGGAGGAACTGTCTTCCTTCTCCTTTTGGTTGCTTTGGAGGAAACTAAAGTATTGCTGTTTTCCCCCTTTCCACTTCTCTGATCGAGAGCAGCCATCTTGCCGGTACTAACCTTCCAGATCTTACCTGTGAATTATAAAGGTCATTCCTTTATAATCTGCAGGAGGCTGTGGCCTCAGTTCCATGCCCGGTGACTTCTCCATGTGGATGTCAGCTCCTTAGCGGCAAGCCTGATCCTACTGATGCCACCCCCACCCCTCATAAGCCCCTTCCTTATCAGCTGTGGTTGCCTGGTACCCCACCAGCACTGACTCATTCCTTTGGCATCGAGGTCCATCCCTTACTGGACCACCATTTCTGGGTGGCCTGAAATTGGGCCCTGGGCACTTCTCTTGGTCTATATTTTCACTGTCACCTCACTGTGGACAGATGAGGGTCCACTGCAAGTCTGGTTAGCTTTACCTGGTAGATTTGGTGATCCTTTTTCAGGAAGGAGCCTGGAAAGATGAGATTCAGGTGTGTTGATCAGCTCAGGCTGCCATAACAGAATACCATCCACTGACGGCTTAGCAACAACAGAAATTTATTTCTCACTATTCTGGAGGCTGAAGGTCCAAGATCAAGTGACAGCATGGTCAGGTTGCAGGGAGGGCTCTCTTCCTGGCTTGTAGACAGCCACCTTCTTGCTGTGTCCTCATATGGTGGAGAGAGTGTGAAAACAAGCTCTCTGGTGTCTCTTCTTATAAGAATATAACTGTATCATGGGGCCTCCCCCTCCTTACCTTGCCTAAAGCTAACTATCTCCCAAAGGCCCCATCTCCAAACACCATCACATTGGGATTAGGGCTTCAACATATGAATTTGGGGTGACACAATTCAATCTGTAACATGAGGAGGGCATCCCAGGAGGAACTGACCATTCTCTCTCCAGCTGCCCTGGGCACGTTTGCCCCATTGAAGGGGCAGGCTCGGAAGTGGAATGAGGATGGAATAAGGTGCAGCGCTCCATCATGCTCACCCACATCCCTGGCAGGAATTGTCCCAGCCCCAGCAGGAGAGATGCCCCCATACTACCATGGCACCTGCTCTGAGACAGGTGTGCAGAGTGTAAAGCTCCAGATGGCCCCCAAGCAGGTGTGCTGGGAGGAGGGGCCGGTGTGAGAGGAGCAGGCAGCACCAAGGCCTAGGAGAGCAGTGACAGGTCCCGGACTTCAGGGGATGGACACTCTGTGGGCAGGCGGCTGGTGTAGGGGTGAAGGCTGGGGTGGCATCTGTGGGACCAGGACTGGGCCATCCATCAGATCCATGTCACAACCCCAGTGCCTCTGTTGTAACCAGGACAGCAGGCCAGGCCAGGCTGGGAGGTGACAAGACTGGGGGCTGTCCCCAGGAGAAGCTCTCTTCTGCCTGTGGCCCAGGCCTCTGGGGATGAGGACACCTCAGAAGGAGCAGCTATGTCTGGGAGACACCAGGGCAGAAGCGAGCCAAGGGGGACATCAGCAGTGAGATCCAGGGGATCGGTAGGCCACAGGAACCCCAGCATGAACCCTCCTAACTGATGCAGCTAGGCCCACGCCTACACCTGCCCACAGCAGGACTCCCAGGAGGAGAGGGGACGGATGGAGAGAGGTACAAAGTGCCCTTGGCCTCTGCCTTGAAGCCACCCCAAGGCAAGAGAGATTTGAGCTCCTCTTTAGTGACCTCCAGGGAACATTCTGGCCCATCTGACGTGGGAAGCCCCTTGTGGGGTCTGTCATTCCTCAGCTGAACCAGGTCTTTGGAGGCAGCCCTGGCATGTCCCTGTGTGCTCCTGTCGCTGTGTTGGGACACCTGGCGTGGCCCCTCCTTCTGCCTTCCTCTTCCTTTCCCTTTTCAGGGTGGACACTTCCTCCTTTAGCACCCTGTCAGCTGTGTGAACTTCTCTGTCTCTCTCTCTTTCTGTCTCCCTGTCTCTCTGTTTCTCTCTCTGTTTCTCTCTCTCTCTCTCTCTCTCTGTTTCTCTCTCTCTCTGGCCCAAGCAAAGAGGGAGCCTCATCGTGATGCTATATAACTGTGCATGGGCACAGATAGAATTGTAGGAAAGTCCCGCAAGTAGAAGCACAGAAGGATGAGAGAAGGAACGCCATGTGGATCGTGACAGATCCCTCTCCAGGAGTCACGGACTCACCCTGCCTCCTGTCCCTCCCACTGTGACACTACTACCCACAGACAGGCTCAGATTAAACCCACGTCCCAGTGTCCTGTGGTTCCCACCATGTGGCTCCCTGAGTCTGGCCTCAGGCTCCACCAGTGCCCAGCCCTGCCAAAGGCTCCAGGGCAGGTGTCCCAGCTGGGGGACTGCGGGGCCCCTTCACAGAACACACAGAGAGAAGTTCCACGCTACACATTATATCAAGAGGGACGTGCCTGAGGGGGAGCCAGAGCCTGTGCAGCCCCCTCTTGCGTGCAGAACATACTGTGCCCTGAGCATGCCGTGAAAACACAAACACACAAAGTTGTAAAGAAAAAAGAAAGGACAGGTGGCTGTAAAATCTGTTATTGCCCATGAGAGGCCCACTAATGAGTGTTGATTTCAGCTGATTACAAAGAAATGGTGGTGTTTCTGTTATGATCCAAACATGCGCTCGTGCGTGCACACACGCACACGCATAGTCACATAACTGACCAGCCCTATGCATCACTTGTTAATTACTTAGAAACTGTAATAATAATGGTTTCCAATAACTGAGCCTTAGTACCTGTGCAAAGGGCAGTTTATTGAACACACAGGAGCCTTACAGTGGGAGCGGGTGACCTGCTCCTGGGAGCCACCAGCCTCTCCTCTCCTGCTCTTCATCCTCCTTCATGGGGGGAATTGGTCCACTGCTTCTACACCTGAGGCTGAACATCTCCCTTTATTTTAGTCTAAAACACTTGTAAAAATATACTAGAATTAATCAAGGTTGCAATTTCTGATATCAGGCAGTGAGTTCATCAGGTTTTATTATACTATCCCTCTTACTTACTTTGAAGTTCTCTATTACCAAAAAATTAAACACTATAAAAGAAAGAAAAATAAAATGAGGCTAGATTGAACACAGATTACCTTTACCAAATCCTTCTTAGAATCAGGAGTCTTCTAACACATGCATTTGTGACCTGGAGTG